TTGGGGGGATGAGAGAGAAATTGCATCTATTCGTCTACAAGAACAAACTGTTTCGGTACAAAATTTTTTGGATTCCACTATTGACAAAATAATTAATGTAGAAATAAAGCTGGAATTGATTTCTCGTAAATTTAGCAAAGCTTATATATTAAATAACAGAACTACAATTAAATTGATTTGAGCCGCCTAAGACACCTCTAGGTCCAATCTCTAAAGAATTGCTAATACAACCAAAATTTAGCTGAATTTCTCGAATCTATTAAGAGCAGAGCTCATATAACCGTAACAGACTAAAGAAAACTATCATTAAAAATCTATCATATAAAAAAAATTTGTTACGAAAACAATACCCTCCTCCTTACAAAATACAATTATACCCTATAATATAAAACGGTTTTTGAATATTATGAGAAGATGTTCTTCTCACAAATCTTACGCTTCACAGAAAAGATAAACGTATAATTTCTTTTATCCTTTAAAAAAAAGAAAACGAAAAAGAACTAAAACTATTGTTATACAACTTATCTGCTATTTGCTATATAATCAGAAAAACAAATTTTCAAAATGAAAATGTAATCGATATATAATTACATTTACTTTTATAAAAATTCAACTTGCTCTTCACTTATACTCCCCCTCCCTTCCCATAAATCTTGAAAATATTATGCACACTTTTACTACTATCGCGAACGATAAAATATTTTTATTTTATCATAAAAAGAAAATTTAAGGAAACTTGTAAGTACTTATACGTAACATAATATCCTGTAGTGGTTCTATACAGTATAAAAACGAATGGGATATTGGTGAATACTCAAGTTTATATAGTGTTGTAGGAAAAGTGATGGAGGAAATATAAAAAAATTTTGAAAAATATGGAAAATAAAATATTGAATGAATAATGGTAATCGGAAAATATTGTATGGAAATTTTTTTATTAAGTATTAAAAAATTATTGCATACTTTTAGGGGAATATTTTAATAAATTATACAAAAGGGTTCGGAACTGGTATTAGAGCTCTTATTGGATGATTCTTTTGAGTTTATTGAGAAAAAATGTTGTTCATTTAGAAGATAGGGTATCGGGAACACGGTCGTCTAAGGGAGTATTTTGGAGAAAATCAGATTGAAAAAAATCTGTCCTACAACAGCTTTGAAGTTGTTGAAGCTTGATACCTGTAATAGTTTCGAAGTTGTTAGAGCTAAAGCAATATTTTTTTCGCAACTTTTTTTCTCAATTAATAGACATTTGAGAAAGTAAGATATATGGCTGGATGCCACACTTATCATATTCGAATAATGCTACTATATAAAAAGCTATAATATGAGTAAATAAATTTGTTTAAATAATTGTATATTAAAGGGTTGAAATAATTTAATTTCTCAATTAATTTTGCAAGTAAATTAACAGCTCCCTATTCAGTTGCATTTATGAGCTTGAAATTGATAGCAGCTGAGCTTGAAAATCAGCATTTGCATCTTGAATTTAGTATCATTTAAGAATTTCACTGATTTTCAATAAAATTGACTGCTATTGACTGTCTCTAAGACAGGTTCGTCCTAGAAATATTATGGCTTCACAGAGTAAATAATAAATCGCAGAATAAAACAAAAGAACTTTTAGGTCTTAATGTTATTCATGTTATTACTATTCTTTATAAGCAGGTCAATTATTACATAGTTAAAATATTGCATAATGCCATGCTCTCATTTAAATTATACACTAAAAATGTATTGCAAACTAATAACATAATTGGAACAAAAATTTATAAATCCCAAAAGCATGGTGTAAACTTACATTCTAAATTGAACACATTAATCAATAAGTGGAATTAACAAAAAAAAAAAAGGCAATTTCAAGAGCTCCAAGAGTGGTTCTAAGAGATCTAATGCGATAAATAAAAAAATTTAATAATATATTTTAACATTGATTACCTTTAACAGGTTCACTAGGCTTAAAATTTTGCATAAAATTGAATTAAATGTAAAATTCACTCATAAATAGAATCGTTTTTGGAAAAAATTTTTCAAAAAAAGGCTCGAATACAATAAAAACCATTTAACCTCGGTATTTTTCTTAAAATATCTTGTTGAATATTTAAAAATTTTTCAATATTTCATTGCAAACTCTTCAACTTTACCATTGATTATATCCAAAACTTTTATACCCAAATTTCACTTAATTTTTTTTGTAGAAAAATGAAATTTAAATTATTGCCTCCAGAGAATATTTTTTTCTTTGATTCTCATCCTATTTAAGGTCTATTTTAAAGCATTTCCTTTTTAATGTTCAACTTTTTTGTGTTTTTCTAGTTCCTCTTTATTCCAAAGAGAATTCTGCTCGTAACCAAAACTATTTTCTAATTTCCTACAATTTTTTTTTTACAATTTTATCCTTTATTATTTTTTATCACTCTCTATGATCTACAAAAAACAAAATAATATACCTTTAATACTATTATATTGCCTTTATTATAGCATAATACCATTTTTTCATCATATTTATTCTTCTAACACGTTAAAATTCTTCTTTAGATGTCCAAAAAAAAAAAAAATCCATTGAAATAAAATAGAAAAAGAAAACCTTAAAATGAAGGCAGGATTCAATTGTTCCTTTATTTTAAAAGATCCTTCCCATGATACAAGAACAAAACATTAACGAAATCGATGGAAACTTGTGTTTTGAATACAAGCAACAAAATCTTCACACATTATAAATCAAAAAAACTTTCAATTCAACCCAGGATATTATTATTATTATTTGAAATCATTACAAATCTCATATATTATCGATATATAATATAAAAATATCGGAATAATAGTACTAGTTAGAGAAGGATCTAATAGTTAAAGAAGAAAAAAATATATTGGAATATTGAAAAAACTACTTTTCAAAATCGAAAACATATTGACTACCCATGTTTATACCGTAGGTAGTAAATTTTCATTCTATTGAATTATCGGCAACAATGGTATATATAGGGTGCAATTTATTTAGACTACATCAACCATTTTACAACACAAAGGAAATCGTCTTATTCTGTAGTGAATGTGGATCTTACACTTGTAATTGTATTTTCTTTATTCTATATTTGGTTTTCTTTTTGTCAACTTACTCATCTTAAAAGCAAAAGATTTCTCGTCTCGTCTTGGGAGCACTTGATCTGTCAGCTCATTTTTTGCTATTTGCTTGATTTGACACTCTGCTAGATCTGAATATTTTTTAATTCTGACTTTACAAATCTACGTCAAGTGTTCTTGTGACGTTCAAGTCTTATTGAACCTTGGGAATTCCACTCCAAGCTCATAATAGCAATATTTTTGAAGGGTTTTCTTAGAGTGTGTCTGGTTCATCTCTTCTTATTTATCTACCGATAGGTTTTTCACCTGTTATTATCCAAAGGTGTTCGTTGCTTATATATGTTGTCCAAAATATTCGGCATATTATTCTGAAGTATATTTGGTTTTTACATTAAGAATATTCATTTTAAAATGATCAGCAGAATGACATTTATTTGATTGAAAATTTTGTTATTCAGAAAACTGTTATACAGTTGTCACCGAGTGGCATATCACTCAATACTTCTTGTGCTAAGCATATTACATAAATATAGCAATATTTATAAAAAAAATTACTTTGTTAAAAAGTTCAAATTCATTTAAATTTAATTACACCACTACAACAATAAATTCAACTATTAATTTTACTAAACTATTAATTTAAAAAAAACACCCTATATTTTATACATTATTCCGTTTAGATTTATAACTTTAACAATAATGCAACAATGACATTTTGTAAAATATTATAAAGAGAAAATTTATTAAAAAGAAAAGAAATATTATTATTAAAATAGAGCAGCTCTTTCTTATACGCTGTGATTATATAAAACTCGCTCGCTCGCTCGTTCTAAATAAAAACTATGATTTTCTTTCTCTTTTTCATATAATCATTATTATTATTACTGTTATTATTGTAAATGCAATATAATATACAGTTATAAATAATTTTTTATCCTTTTTTACGGTCTTCTTAACAAACTGAATCATACTCATTTTTTCTCTTAAAATTCATAAATACACAGAGAAAAAATATGTAAAACTTGAAAATTATGCAGCTTAACAAAATTAAATGACAAACTTCAACTAAAGTTCTACATTATATGGGACCGGCTTTCTACATGGTAATTAAAGGGTTCTTAAGCAGAAATTATGTTCGATTTGTGATACTTTAAATTAAATATTCTTGTTTTTCAAAAGCGCCAATAATTTGTAGGAAAACGATTAACAACCATTCAGATCTGCTTAAAGATAATAAAGAGCATATCGTCTACACGCTGTGTGAGACCAAATAAAAACAACCTCAATTCTTTTTACTTATAAGATCCGATTCGCCGTAGTCATATTAACAATAATAATATTATAACAATATAAAACAAGTGATAAATCGAGGGTCCTTCACATAACTAAGCGTCAAATCACTAATTATGTGCATTAGACTTCACTTTTAATGGATTTAATATATAACTTACTAACATAAGAATTTGTATCAATTTTAAATGAAAATTAGAGCTCAGGCAGACATGAAATTTTTGGTTTTGCTATTACTGCTTGATTGTAAAATCGTTGAGCGCAAATTTAAGTAACTATACACTATTGCGTCAATTTTAATCGATTGTTAATTGCATCCGATCATACAGTTCCATATGTGCGCACTTGAATATAGGACAATGGAATAAAAATAAGCAGCAATCAAATGGTTGTAAAATCACACATTGCATATCTGCTGGAGCCCTTGCTCATTATAAATAAAAATGCCTAAAATAATATACAAAATTCTTCTCTGTGTTCCTCAAAACAAAAAAAAAAATTATTTTTTAAAACTTATAACCAATGTTTTTTCCTTCTGTTCCTCCTCCTCCTCCATATTACTATCATGGCAAAAAAATGAGTAATAATTTCTCTTTTCAATATTTTTTTTAAAGAAATTTTTTATACAGAGACCAGTTATAATACTCAAAATGAAAATTATAAGAAAAATATTGGAAAACTTGAAACTAAGTTTTTACCACATATTAAGCAACAGTATCATCATAAGCAACAGGAACAGCAGCACCAACAACAACAACAATTTAGACCAAAAATAATTGGAATTCAAGATAGAACTAACTGTAGACAATATCATAAGCAAAAAATTATTAATAAAAAATGTTCTATTTTATCCTGGAGCAATTGGATTTCATATAAAAACCAGTGTCTGAGAAAATCTAAAAATGAAAAATTTCTTAAAATTAATATTTTCGATTTTATTGTATTTGTTATTGGAATGTTATGTTTACAAGGTGATATTAAATCTATACACTTTTTTCTTTTACCATATATTTTTCAGAAATTTAAAAATTCAAACTCTTTTAATATTTTATAGGTGTTTCAATAAATACGAAATTATTATCAGGACGTATAATAATATTTTCAACTTTATTATTTAGTTTCCTAATATTTCAATATTATTCAGCAAGTATTGTTGGTTCATTATTAATTGAATCACCGAAAACTATTAGAACATTACGTGATTTAATTAAAAGTGATTTAAATTTGGGTATTGAAGATATTGTCTATAATAAGGATTTCTTTAGGGTAAGCAAAAGAAAATTATATTTTATTATATTAATGTTAAATTGTTTGTATATAGGGACGTTTATCCATAAATTAGATTCTAGGACTTAGTCCATACGTTTTGGCTTTTTAGAGCGTAAAAGAACGAAGGATGAATACTGAAATTTATGCAGCTTTAAGAATTTTATCATTTAAGCTTAGGAGGTTAATTAAAAGTTAAAATTTATTGAAGCACAGTTAGATTTTATACAGCTCATAATAAAGGCAGACTTAATCTTACCTTTGAAAGCTTTTGAAAATTGGATAAAGCTTAAGTCTCTGAACACTATTTAAAGCGTTATGAATAAAAAATTCTAATATTCTTAATTTTGTAGAAAATGAGGTTATTACCTTAACTCCTTTCATTCATTCGTCTCTTATCTTGATCCACAAAATTTCTGAACTCCTAAAAAAGAAGATCAGAATTTTCAATTATTTTATGTTGATTCTTCTAATAAGTGTTTATTTTCCTCCTAAGCAATTTGAAAACGTAATAAGAGAATTTTAATTTTAGCTTTACTTATAATTGGGCGCATTGGGTAAACGAGTAATAAAGAATTTTATGTGATGGCAGCAAATTTCGGTGATATTGAAACAAAAAATAAGCTACTTCTGTAAACATGTCTCTATATCGGTGTCTCAGTTTTTTTGTGTATGCATTCGTGTATCTTAATTTTTGGCTGAACAGATTTTGATAAAAAATTTATATGTGAGTAAACTTTCTGCCATATCACGAATTAATCAATTTTTGTGGTACAGGAACTCCACATCTCAGGAATTGGGCCTTTATTATGGGCGGACTTTAAGATTTTGATCAAGTTTGAGATTTAATTTTTGAGTTGTGTCTGCCGGAACTGACGAATTTTTCGGGGATACCGGATCACAGAAAATCAACTTCTACTATGAAAAAAAATTTGAGTTTTCTGGATACATTGACTGTTGAAAGCCTCTAGTAACTATGTTGTTGATAGAATTTGAAATAAATGATGAAAGGACCCGGGCGATTACATGCTATTCACATCAGATTTTGTTTACACATCATTTCCTTAACCCGGCTTGATTATTCATTTATATGTACAATATAATTTTGTAAACAATTTTATTCTTCATCTGAGTTCCAAAATACATTTATTCGGATCATTTATGGAACCAAATTAAATTGCTATACTTTCAGTCTCTTCTCCAAAATTACTTCTGACTAATTTTATTCAAGAGACAATCAAAAGATTAAATGAAAATTTTTACTAGAAAAAATATTCAAAAATGCTTTTTATTATTCAACTACTTTAACTCCCCTTGGATGACTAACACTATACACTCCGGTTACTCTGTACATTCCATAACAATTCATGTTAATTTAGTACTTTCAATCAAATTAAAATTCAAAGTTTAAATGTTAATTTAATTTAAATATTTTTCTTAAGGTTAAATTTTTATCACTTTCTTTTAACACATATAAATGCAATTTTTTCTTTACCATTTTACACTTGAATAATGCAAGAGCTACAACAATATGAAAAGTTCAAAAAACACATACATCTAAAAAAATAAAAGAAGAAATTATTCAAATTTAAACTTAAATCTTTAGAATAACGCATTCTAAGTAAGTCTTCATCATTGTAATTCATCTTTATTTCACCTTTTAAATAAAAAAAGGAAAAAATATGTAACCGAAACCCTGCCAGTCAGAGTTTATAGATGAATAAATTAGAAAAAATTAATTTTATAGTCAAATAAGAATATTCTTGGAAACTAAGAATAATTTCATTTGTTGAATCACCATCATAATTTACAATATTGTATGAGTATTGAGTTTAGAAAAAAAAGCTAAATTTGCATTAGAAATTTTTTGAATAATTGAGTACTTTGTGAACAGAATGAATGTTTTAGATTATGCACTTACTCTTCATATAATATTGATAAATGTGTAGAATGAGAGAGATATAGCACATCAATTTAGTGAAATACAGAATTAGTTCTTCATTATTTAGTAAATATTTCAAAGGTAATTAGGCGATAAAGTTGTGGGTTGTGAAGTTGTAAAGTGAAAGCTGTGGCACAATGTTATCATTTGAAGAATTTTCTTGCTTCATATTCAAAAAAGTTCTTTTCAGAGTTGTTAAGAGAAAGTTAGTTAAAGTGAAATATAAGCTGCATAAGTTGCTTAAAGCCTTCTTTTACAAAGAGTGAGTCATTCCGTCGATTGATATCGGGTGGAACAAAACTTTTAGATATGGCTTCTCTAATAATAAGAAGTTTATATTCAATTTGTTTAGGGATACATTGCTTCGATCGCATACTATCGTGATAGCAATAGTAGTACAGGTGGAAGATATTACGGAGCCGAGAGTGGATTAATTATTTAACGGGATATATCCTATTTATTGTATACTTAATAAAATACATCACGCAAGCAAAAGGAAAACTATTTTATGTCACCCCTATATACCACAATCATTATCTTCTAAGTTATTTGAAAGCTTGTATTTTTCACTTTTAGACCACATACTTACTATATAGGCGACATAATTTTATAATATCTCTGGAGGGTCCTATCTACATTTAAGAAAACTCACAGAAGATATTAATATATACGTTTACAGGGACCTGAATTTGATTTTAATATTTGATTTTCATAAATGCATGAACGTTCCTAGGCCCCAGCTACATGAATATATTCCTAGTTTTAAAATTATTTACACAACAAAAATCATAAATCTTCTTTTATTTTATATTTTCTCTTAAAGCGTACAACAGATCCAGATGCAATCGAATTGTATAATAAATTTACAAGACACCAAGATTATTTAAATAATTCATCAACAACATATTCTTCAATTTTACCATTCAAAACTGAAACTAAAGATGAATTGATTTGGAAAAAGGGGACTAAAGAACCGAAATCAAATAAAAAATCTATGTGGTTAACACCAGAAATTGGAATGAGATTAGTTAAATTGGGTGGTAAGTTAAAAAAAATTTAAAGCATAGTTAATGCACGGTTCCGGGTATTTGCAATAGTGGCATACCCATTCACATACATATATAAAATAACCAGACATTTTCCTGGAAATATTGCAAAAACAAATCAAATGTAATTCTTTTTTCTAAAATCAGTTCAAATTTTCTGGACGTTTTGAAACTTGCTTTTGTTACAGGAAAATAAATTTTTAGGTCACGACTTTCAAAACTTCTGAAAAGTCATACACAAACCTTACTATTTAACTCGTCTATATACAATAATAATCCCACCGAATTCATATGATGAAAAGCATAGGTTTCTCCAAAAAAAAAAAATTCATGCTAATGTGAATAAATGCTTTTCTTGCTTCTTTAACCATAGAATATACTAACCATTTTCCTACATCTTTGAAAAAGTTTTTCCAATTTAACCAGAGGTCATGTAATACAATTTTTTTTTTTCTAAATTTAACTTAATGTCAGTTTAACAAATTTTTAAAATTTCCGAAAAAAAAATTTATGTAAAATATTCTAGTCTTATAAAAATTGTCATCACGTTTAGAATGAGTTCTGAAGTGCAGTTCGCTCTGAAACAATATGGTGTGCAAAATTAAAATAAAGATTAAAGAATTTTCTCAAATTCGGGGAGACAGCCACAATTTCTACTTTAAATGTAATTATTTAGAGAAAGTGAAAGGCTCTGAAAGTGGAAGGCTCATTGAACAGAATTGTTTTTCTAAGTCATTTAAGAAAATAGTGTTGCCAGCCTTTTTACACATTCAATATCGTAGATTTACTGCATTATCATCCTTTATTCCAATATAAAGTTTACATATTTTCCAAAATTCGTGGAAAAATTCGCGGTAAGCTTAATAGAGAATCATTCTGCCAAAAAATAACTTCAGTAACTTTATATCTTTCGAATATTTTATACTTCATGATGGCATTACAAATTATAAGAACCTTTATTTATAACATATTTCCCATACGCAATCTAGGACCAAGAAGAAAAACAACAAAAACTTTTCCTGTTTTTCCAGAAACTGAAACGCTAAACATCGACCAAATAACCTTTATTTTTCTAATTTTCTTTGTTTATAAACAAAATTTCTTACATTCGCCAAAACCCTAATATGAGGTTTACCATTCTCAAAAGAAAAAAACGTTCTCACATTACATTGAAAATACTACCAGTGTTTCTTTTGCCCAACTAAAAATCTCAACCATTACTAGACAAAAATATGAAAAATTTTTTTTACTGCTTTCTTTGTTATTCTTGATATTTTGCTGCATATTCATTAAAAAAATACGAAAAAACAAAAAAAACATTAAGTTTTTTCTTTGTATTTGAAAAGGATTTGAATCCTGGCAGAAAGAAAATTTGTTCTTATTGGATAATGATGATGTGGTTTAACTTATATAATGTGGTTTGAGGAAAAAAAACAAATTATGGAAAAAGAAATTCCATATGAATTTGACTCAAAAACAGCACATGCACATACACATATACCTTTTCATTAACGTAAATATGCTCTACATGCTAAAGTTAAAAGAAAAGCAGAGAAAACTTTAAAAACAAAACCAAAATTCATTATATATGTAAAAAGAAACCATGCACTTTTTCATAACATCAACAATTTTAGTTGCAAAATTTATGAATTAAAATTAAAAAGAAACCGAAATTAGATGAACTTAACTTGCTCAGCTATAAGATACCCTATGATTTACAAAATTGCAAAATTCGTAAGTTTATTCGGAACATAATCCGGAACAATTATTTAGAGGACCTTTGTTTACAACACAATGTTTGGCCCCTTCTTCAATTCGAAATCTATATAAAGCATTTATTATAATTAAAAGTTCGTCATTAGGTACATTCCTTTTATACAGGAAAGGAACAAAAAAAAACGCTTCAAAAATCTCTGGAATAACTCAGAGCAATCTGTAAATGAAACTGTGATTTACATGGAAATTCTATTATACATAAGAGTGAACATTTATTTAGAATAATAAAATGGGATGTTATGAACATTTATTCGGAATATTAAAGGGGGTAATTGCTTCCTTCGGCTATTCCTTTGCATAGAACGCTATAGAAGCAAATGTTATATATCTAAAATGTTAAATGTTTGATGTGTGATCAATCTCGGCGGTATTAAAAAAAATATTTCTCTCAAATTTTCCATATAAAAATATAAAGCCATCTATTGGAATAAATATGTAATAAATATATAATATCGGAACAAAGGATGGTGTACATTAAATTATTATACACTTAAAGTTGTTATACGTTTAAAGTGTTATACACCTTAAAAATTTAACGCAACTAATTTATATATTGTTAAGTATATCACAAACTTTAAATCCCATTAGAAAATTCAATTTTGGAAATGAAAAATTTAACAAACAAAAATATATTGTTATACACATTCAAAAACCTATTCAAACAATACGAGTATTCTACATTATGTATAACTTTTGTATATTTTTCAAACACCTTTTTACATACTTTATATATTTACCATATAGGTTATGCTTTTCATGTTGATGTTAGTGCTGCATATAAAATAATATCAGAAATATTTACTGAAAAAGAAATATGCGAATTAAGTGAAATTCAACTATTTCCATCACAAAAAATGGTTAATATTGTACAAAAAGGTTCTCCTCTCAGAAAAGTTATAATGTACGGGTAAGTATATGTATTTTATACACTTACATATAATTATGAATATATTTATTTAAATTTGAATTTACTTAATTGCTATATTATTTTTTTGAAATTTTACAAAAATTATAAAATGTTAAAATATTTTAATTTGCTGAAGCATGAGATGCTATTTTTAATTCATTTTTTTCTCATTTTTTAGGTATAACAATTAAAAACAATTTATAACTATATGTAAATTTAAAATAATGTTAGAACTTTCGCTCTCAAATGCTCTTTGCCTGTATGTAGGAGGTCCTAAACTGTACTTCACATTTTTTCAATAAAATATACCATATTTTGCACATTAAGTTGTCAAAAATTTATATAATTCATTCTCAATTTTCTGAAGCAAGATGAAGGCCCTAGGATGGATTGTAGCCTCAGCAATTACTAATTCTACTTACAGTAGCGATTCAAAACTTATATCTGACATTGTATCCTTGCTATAATTTAGAGCCAGAAACTAAAAACATAGATGCTTAGAAATTATTTTCTTATATTAGCGTTTGTTAGATAACAATTTTGCTCCATGGATGTAGCATTTTTAAGCTCGCTTTCTTATATAAATATAAATTTCCAACATTTATTTAGGGTGCACTCCTAAGGCGTATATTTAATTGCACTTTAACTTTTAACTACAATGTTACTTAATTAATTTAAGTGTAAACTAAATCTAATTGCGTTATAGGTAATTTTTAATTAGATAATGTCACAGATGCGATTATACTGCTTTTTATATTCTAGAGATCTATCCGTTCTTAATAGACTTGTTATGTATGGCGAATTCATTAAGATATTTTGGTAATGTAATATCGTGATATTATAAATGGCGAATTCGCCAAAAAATCTAGTGAGTGGAAATATAATTTGAGAGGCAAACGAATTTGTCAAAATCATAAACAATTTAACTGTGATTGTTTGTTTTAAAATACTGTACATTTCTGCTATTGTGTAAAAAAAATTAATAAAGAAACCAATTCGCCGTATATAACACCAAGTACTAGCGAATTCGCCGTCTCAAGAAATTTGAACAAATTGTTCATTTAGTTGGGGAATGAATTTAAATTTTTGGTATGAAACAAATGGACTGATAAAATTCAATTTTTAGACCAATTTTTCATACAGAATTTCCAACATTTTCAAAATTACACGTAACGCAAGATTTATGTTCTAAAAATGTAAATGAAAAAATATTTTAAATAGTTGAAATAGTGAAATAAAAATGTTTTTGTTGGAAAATAGTTTGAAAGAAAAAAAAATTATTTATTTTTGCCTTCCTAGAATGGAAGAGAGAAAACAATTACTTTTTCCGATATTTTTCGGTACCCTTCTTTAACAAAAAGTTTATTTTTTTTCAAAAGGTAAAAACCATATTCAAATTAAATTATTATTTCACTCTGTAATAGACAATTTTTTTTTTAGAAAATTTTCATTTAATTTTTTAGTTTTGTTAAAGGACCTGCCTAATGATACCTACAAAATGAATAGCTAAAACATTTTTATTTTTAATAAAAATATACAGGCATTGTGAACTTCACACATACATTTACACATGCGGATTTAAACTCGCACAGGACTTTTATAACATTTACGCGTTGAAATTAAAAATATTTGGTTAAAAGGCGAAACATTTTTTTTTAATTTCTCTATAACAAAAAGCAGATAAAACACGAACGAATGTAAAAATTTACCGGTTTTTATTGTTATATAGTGGTCAATTTACATTTTATTCAAAATAATTTACTTCTACATAAATTATCATCAACATATATTTACGTATCTATATATGTAAGGATAATTATATAATTTTCTATGGTACATGGAAATAGAGCCACACTTTTTATTTGTTATTGTGTATTTAGAGTCTCGGAAAAAGTTAAAAGTTTGATAGTTTAATCGAATAACAATAGGATCTTATCCAGAGAATATTAAAATTGAGTAATTTTGGAACGAAATTGAATATTGGCATGTCGCAGTTGCAAAACAAGGAACAAGGTTAGAATGCACACGGATCCTTCAACGAAACCCTGCCAACTCACAGGGATCTTATCATGTGATCCCTAAATTTAGGTAGGGCCTGAATGACGACAGCAGTTGCGAGTTCTTACAAGTGGGGAAATGCGGAGGAAATTTCGATTACCCTTTTTGGTAGGTAAAAAGCGGTTACGTGCTCACAAATCGATCCTCACGAGATTTTCGAATTTATCAGAACTTTGGCGTGATAGGTAGAAGTGGAGGCACAATAGATTTACTTCTTTGATCGCCGTCCATTTTTACTCCAGGTAATCTAATGTAATCTAATCTTACTACAACAGTATATAAAAATTTGTTTAATACTCACTCAATATGAAGCTGTCTTTTCCACAATTTTTTCAATTACAAATAAATATTCGATTGTATTATTCCTCCTAAACATATGCAATCTGAAATAAAAAGAAGGGAATAAATTTAACAGATCATCGTTTTCAAATTAATAAGACTCTATTTTAAATATTAGTACTAAACTAAAAGAAAATGTACCTATCTTACAAATTCTACATATCGACATGGATTCGATTCACTAGAACTCCTTAAAGTTAGAATTCTTACTTTATTCTTACAGAATTTCAGCGGCATTATGAGATTAAACTCTATAACCACTTTGTCCTGATTAAAATAAATCAAATTATTCGTGGTCTTATAAATGAAGTGGCATATTTCGTATGTTTCCCAAAAGTGCCGTCGAAAACTATTCCCCTTTTTCATATATAAAACAGTTTAATAAACAAAACACAAAACTTTAAAAATATTTACACAAATTTATAGAGAATTTAATTTTTATATACAATAGATCATGTTAAAAAATTCGGAAATTATATGAATACAAATTAATGGTAATTGTTCAAAAAATGAATATTTTTGTGAAAAAAAAAATTTATTATTATTTTGGTAAAACGGATGCTCTAATGTTGTGTATAAAAACGTAAAATATTTTGTAATTTAAAAAATAAACAAATAAAATCATTAAGTAAATTTAAACATGTTAAAATTTAATTCAGAGATATATACATACATACGAGTATATTGTATAACAGTATATATAAATTCACAACAAAAAATATTTCAATTTATATAAAAAAATTATGAAGTTTATGACTTAATTTTAAAAAAATATTTAAACTATAGGATGAAAAAATTTAAATTGAATTTAAGGAGTTTATCCAATTAAATAGAGAATATAATGATTGATATACTTAAAGAGAAAAATGTTAACTCCCCTGTAATAGTGCGTTCAGAGCAAGAGAGTGTGTTTTTAAGCAAATTTTGAAAATTTAAATAGTTAGGCTTATATAGTCTTAGTAAAAGAAGAGGAGTCCCGTCTAGTCACCCTCTTGATGCCCATGAATTAGACCAACAAGAACAGTCATTGGCAACTTTCATACTAAACATTTGACTACGTGCTGACGTAAATCAATCATGGCGAAAATAAAAACCTTCCCAACTACATGTCGAAACCAATTGATTTCCTTCAGCCAGATATAGAGAAAAGACAAAGATACCCTTAACAACTCGTCCAAAAGAAGTCAAAGAAGGCCCTCAAAAGAATGACCTCTTCTTCCACATTAGAGATGGACAGGCACAGAAATTATTTTACTACACACAATATCCTGACATCGTCTACAGAATTCTGTAGTAGCGATTCTCAATCACTTAGCCGTACTTTTCAAAAGACAGTGCCCAGTTAGCACCCACATCAATATGCGCTGAGTTCCAACTCTTTCTATTCATTCTCAAAGTGATGTCGGCACACAAAACTAGCAGCCCTAACAAGACGGTACGAAATCTTATTTTCCTCTATTCCGCTATGTATGGGAACCCAATACACAGCCATTCTGCAGATATTGCAATCCGCTCTGAGCGCGACTCTGTATCTCACCCCCCTCCAACTCAACAAATTCTTATTAATTTCAATTTTTTATTTTTTTATATATATATAGCTCAATATATAATACTAAATTATCATAAAATTCAAAGTTAATAAATTCAAATATATTAAAGAAATTAATTTAATATAAATTTTAAATATATTATTTGATTATATTTAAATATTAAATTAAATTATTTCTTAATTTAATGAAAAATTGATTAAAAATCACAAAATTATTAAATTATTTCTTTATTAATTCTTAAATAATATGAAAATTGAATGGAGTATTTCAATAGAATAAGAATAAATTTTTCAAAGAAATATTTTTTATATTTCAAATGCAATATAACGCAACCATATAATGACTGAAGCACATCCTTTTTTTATACAAAGGATATTTATAAAAATATAATTCTAAAATTTAATACTTATATAATTATTGTTATAAATACATATGTGGAATGAAATTGAACTATGCACTGTGGTAATTAATTTTAAGAGCTGTATGAGCGGAGATGGTGTTAGCATTTAATTGAAATTTTTTTTTTAATAAAATTTAAGTTTTTCAAGTTAATCATTTGGGAAAATTTCATAAATAATTCTAAATTTTCAACTTAACATACAAACCCATATACACTTTCAAAACTAAATATAATGAAAATTTCATACAAATTTCAAACTGTAATACAGAATTTCTAGAGGTCCTAAATGAATTCTTTCTATTGAAGATATTTTCAGTAATAAATTTAAAATATTTTTTAAAATTCCAAGTAGATTTTGTTATATTTTAAAATATTTTGGCAAAAACTGTGAAAAAAATATTTAAATTTTCATATACATTCAAAAAAATGCAAGATACACAGATTACACATATATTTATATTCAAAATTATACGATTATAGAGAGCACAATATTATTTAACTTTTATGCAATTTTATCAATTTAATTTTACACTACTGAATTTTGGATTGGTTAGAAAAATTTATTTATAATTTCAAAAATTTTAAAATTTTATTAAAAATATCCTATTCCATATTTTTGTATAGAGAAAATAAAGGAAGCTGAATAATAGGAACCTATAGCAGTTTTTCATACTATAGTCATATAGTGTACACTATAATATATTTATTAAACCCTCAAAAATTTGCATAAAAACTAGAGTTGGGACTTACAACTCTAGAAAAAATTTCAATATGATATATCAAATGAATATTTTATTCGATTTAGAATTTTGAAAGTTGATTTACGATATTGAACAATTATGGTGCCGAAAAACTTATATTGAAATAAACTGATATATATCGAAATGTCGATATGTTGAGATTATAATTATATCGAGTAAATATCATAAAAAATTCATTGGTATATATTTCGATTTTTCGATATTTCGATGTTATGGCTTAAACCCTTAATAAAAGCCATCTTATCATTTACCTATTTTCTAAACTCTCTACCGAACTTGTATGAAAGCAAAACCATAAAAGTAATCGTATTCTAATCCAATGGTAAAATCTTATACCTCTAATATAGTAAAATCTTATACTAAATTAGTAAATAATTCAATTGAATCTTTATTATTTCGTGAGATCTCCTAAATTTATGCAATATTATCTCATAATTATAATATGAGTTGAAATCCAGGGATTTGATAATTGAATTTTCAAATTTCTTTACTATTATTACTTCATTACATAAATAATTTCTTTAAAATTTCTTTTTCCAGATTGCGACGTACTTATGAATCTGGCCTAATGGATTATCAAAGAAAAATTTGGAGTTTTCGAAAACCACATTGTACTAAAAAAATTGAACAAAGTGATTTATCGGTATGTAGCTATTATTATTCTTTCATAATAAATGCTTTTGTACACTAGGTGTTTGAAAAAGTACAATAAAGCTATAATTTTGTAAAAATTTTAAGCAACATAATTTTCGGCAATAATTTAAGTTCATACTTGCCATACACAAATACGAGTATCAAACCCGAAAATTTTAGAAAATTTTTCGAAATTTTATAAATTTTTCGAAATTTTATAAATTTTTCGAAATTTAATAAATTTTTCGAAATTTTATAAACTTTTCAAAATTTTATAAATTTTTTGAAATTTTATAAATTTTTCGAAATTTTATAAATTTTTGAAATTTAATAAATTTTTCGAAATTTTATAAACTTTTCAAAAATTTTATAACTTTTTCGAAATTTTATAAATTTTTCGAAATTTTCGATTGAGTAATGTATTTTTGTTGAGTATAATACCACTCATTTAACTCAACTTACGTAGAATTTCCAATTGGATCCGAAAATGTTTGAAGTTTTCAATTAACAGCACCATCATTTTTCGTTCCATCATTTAAGATTAATGTTTCGTTTTTCGTATTTTGTTCAATGGCATAAGGTTATGAACACATTAGTGTTCATTAGTTTTTATTAAAAAAGCAATTTTGCAGTTTTCTGTGAGATTTTACTCAAATGGCCTAGGATTTTATCACTTGTTTTGTGCAAAATTTCGACACAAATTAAAGAAATGAAAATCTAGAAAAAAATGTTCTTTAAAATACCAAAAAAAAATCATTAAAATTGAATTTAACTCTTCCACTATTTTTATTTTTCTAAATCTTTGCAAAATTATGCTTCCTTTAACTCTATTTGACTTTGTTTTTAAATTTATGAACATTGAAATTTATTTTTTTTTTGTACATCTATAATCGCCTCCTTTGCAAAATATTCTTTATCCTTTTCTTAATATTTTCTTTTTTTTTTGTATATTTCAGGTTGATATGCAGACATTTTTGTCAGCATTTTTTATCTTACTATTTGGATTTGCTAGTAGCTTGATTATTTTAATATTTGAAATATTATTTAACCTTTTCTATATCAGGAGTACAACCACCATCATCACCAAATAGAAGACTATATGCACATACATTTTAAATGAAAAACAAAAACAACCAAGAAAAAAAACAGGAACAAAAATATTGTCTTTTTATGCTGAATTGAAAAGACGTGCTCTTCTTATTTTTATTTATTGAAATATAAGGGGGGGCGGGGGCCTCCTTGATATATTTTAAAATACGATGGCTTAGAAATTTTTTCGTAGACATCATTGTCAAATTCACCTTTTACATATACAATATTCAAGTGCGGAAAATAAAAATAACAATAATAATGGTTATATTTTAGAATTATTGTTGAATAAGCAAAAAGACTAGGAATTGAAGGAATATAATATATAACGTATATAGGGTTTGTCATTATAATTGAACAAAATATATTGAGCAAGACTTTTTAAAAATTTTAAGAATTTGTAATTATTTTTCGCCATTAAATTTTAAGCGTTCGGAATATTAATATTATTCTGCTATAAATTCCTTTATCACAAACTTTACAACACTCCATGTACCTCACCATATTATATTCAACTCAATTTGAATTCTAAAATTATTCAACATTAAGATAACAATATTTCAATGCAGTATTTTTCTGATAACAATATGTCGTGGAGAATTTTACCTAATTTTTCTTGAAAAAAAATCCTAGCTTATTTATAGTTGACCTCCTAAAATGTTGATCATGCTATAGCTTAAAACTGTGACTATTAAAGGTAAGATTAGTCTTTATAAGGAACGGTAATTTTCCGAGACATTGTTCTCCGAATCAAACGGATTAAATTGAAAATAGTGATTTTTTGCATGCGAATTATTAAAAAATCCTCCTAGTTTTCAAAATCTTCAGTTATCTAAAATTAAATGAATAGTTCATTATTAACAACAATTTATTACGAATTTAAAAGGTACTTATAGAACTAAAATATACCACTTACTAACTGATCAAAATATCCAAAATTCTAAAGGACTACTTGTCTCTCAATCTCTCACTTCCGATCCGATTAGTAAATTTCCCTTAATTTCCTTTAATTTTCCTTAAAAGCAAATTCATTTCAACTGCATAAGCTTGGAATATCCAACATTCTACTGATTAACCCTATAAAACATAGTAATAAATTCATATTTAACATAAGGATTATAAAAATATTATCCTTAAAAATTATACATATGCACATAAAATAAATAAAAAGAGCAAAAAAAAATTTTTTTTCAACTTTTCAAGTTTTTCCCCATTTTCTTGTTTTTTGATTTTCATAATATTTTTATTACCGTTATGGAAAAAAAAAATTTGTTTTTTTTTTTTTAAGAAAATGTAAAATTTTAGAAAAGAAAAAATAATAATGTTTGCTTTTACTTGTATTATTATAAAAATAGTTGATTATAAAAAAATTATAAAAAAAAAACAAGTTATGAGCACCATGAGCACCATTTCTTCCCATATATTTTTTTTTTTTATATAAAATTTTAACGGGAAAATTATTGTAGTTTTATTAGCACAAAAAAAAAATATTGTTATTATGCATAATGTAAAATTGCAATAAAATAAAGTTAATCTTAAAAAAAACAAGAAGGCAAAATAACATTGTTCACGAAAAAATTCTGGTTAAAACGAAGAATCATTGCATCATTTACTGTTATGACAGTAACTTTTAAAATGTATCCAGTTGCTCTATACAGTTGTAAATTAAGTCGATTAAAGAGCTGAACTCAAATGAGCTTTTTAAAGTGATTTAACTGTGCTAGGTCCATTTTTTATCGAAATTAAAGGAAAATATTAAAATAAACAAAAATTAAGAAACGTTTTCTTACGAGAATAGTTTTATAAACGTGTTTTCCAGCAGCTTCTTGCGTAAGCGGCATAATTTCGATTTGCATAACGTTAAGAGGAATATTGCTTCCTAAAAATATATAATATTTAAATTTTATGAGATATTAAGAGAATTGTGAGTACAACAAATTCTAAATATACTTATGTAAACAATGCCGATTTTGATATTAGATTTTGCACTTTTGTAATTCTTCTTCTCCTACCAATTTGACATAAACATTATATTTGAAAATAAGAGCGAGAATAATACAAAGATATTATAGTTAGAAACAAGGATAATACAAAATTTAACAACGGTACTTTAAGGATTTTAAGGTCATTAAACTGTGCAACAAGTTTAGAGTTTAAAAAAAAATTTAGTATCATCATAACATATGTATTAATATTCTCATATTTAATGCAAGAATACATAAGTTCCTATATATATAATATATTATATATACAATTTCTCTGAATAAAATTCTTATTAATTTTAAAATTAATTTTAAACTACATATTATATTGAATCAGTTCATAAAATTAATTAAAATTACAAATTTATTTTCCTGCTATAATTTTAATTTATATACTTGCAAATATATAATATGTAGCTGATGGCTATGTACCTTTAAAATTTTCATATCCTCTTAAAAATTTTTCACTAATAAATATTTCCCTATAGTAAAATGTTTATTTACTCACATTATATTACTGCTACTCAAATATATATTTATGTATGTATTTAATAATTTTATGAATATTAATAATTTATTTAAACTATATACACTGTAAAAAAATTATTTTAAAAATTAATGCGGAAAATAAGCTGAAAAATATTTTAACTAAATATTCAAACGAATGACGTATGTGAGTAGAGTATCGTACGAGTATCTGCAAAAATAAGTATGATGTATGCATATCAGTTCAACCGTTGTACTACAACTAAGCTACAACACAATGTAGTGTGATATCTAAACAACCTACAGAATTCATTTTTAATAATAAAAACTTGCGTATTAATTTTCGGAACTTTTTACAAATTTCGACACGAAACATATTACTTAAAACAATACTTCATTTTTAAACGTTCAAAAAAATTATTAGTAGCTTTGTTTGTTCATTTTTTTCCCTATATCAATTTATAATTCCCTATATCAAAAATAAATAGAATTCGTTTTCATTTCCAATTTCTTCCATGATTATGAAACTTAAAGAAATAAGTGTTCAAAAGATTAAGAAATTATTAAACAATAATATTCTAACAGGATGATTAATAGGGTGATTCAGTAAAGAATACAATAATATATATCAACGTTTAGGGCATTAAAAGTCTCAACAGTTTCCGAATTACAGGGATTTTAAGAAATTTTTACAAAATTTCTATTTGCCCAAACTTTTTTACTTATAAGTTCCTTTCCGAAAAAGAAAGAAGCTTCAAATCAACAGTTTCTGAAGGGACTAGTAAAGGTTGTCTTGACAGCAATATATTACTTGATGTTGTATCCATTTTTCTCAGTGTATAAACATTTTAAAAGAGAGATTTTTCTCTTTATTGCTTACATTTACTCCCTATTTTTTTTTTCTCAAATATTATTGAAAATTTATTAAAAAAAATTACAAAAAAAAATATTTATAAAACCTATGAAATAAAGAAAGGATGAAATAAAAAATTTTACCTGAATATTATTAATGCATACAACACACATATTTATGTACATATATGCAATATACGGATATTGATTATATAAATTTATATTTATTCCGAGACAAACATACACACAATCAATAACATTTTAATTTATAGGTCTTATGATTAAGTGATTGAAAATTTTCTAATATTAAAGGAAATTTAATACAATGATAAACGGTAATATGGGAGAGTGTAGATGAATTTTCAGATACTATAGATCGATGATCTCTTCCACTATATTCATTATAAATTAAACTCATAAAATGAAGTCATTGAACTGAAAATAACAAAAAAATAACCACAACAAATTACGTAATATTAACCAATATATTGCAAAAATAAACTTCACTCAAAAAAAGCAATACTTAAAATAGAAAAAGAGTAACATTTTTTTTTCTTAACTTTAATATAAAAAAAATGGATGTTCGTTTTCTGAAAATCATAGCAGATATAACGTACCTATACATTAGAGCTGTTAATTGCATACATTGCGATATGCATCATTGTGGCCGACTATAGTGGAAAAGTTCTGACAACGGCGCTTTCTCAGTATATCAAATGCGTGCAGCTGACTTTAATCATAATTTCCAACGCAACCTATGACACGCGTCATAAATTGCTAACTGATTATTGTTTTTATATTAATTACCCAATAATTAGTAAATATTAGTTAATACACAAGTGATTGAAATAATATGTAAAATGTCAATTGCAAAAATTACTTAATTTCCGATAAATGACGTTATTCACATACTTATAATCGTCAAGTCTTTGTAGCATTTACTGAAACAGTAGTAATATTATTGCCGTAATTAATTAAAAAACTTAATTTAAGTGTCTTATTCAGTTGTTATTAAGTGTCTTATTTAACGCCGTCTATAATTATGGCGACTGAAGGATTTACGAATACAGAATTAGGTTAGCCTTTTTAACTAAAATTATTTTAATTGGTAAATTATTATTGGTTTTAACACTAATATCAATACTTTTCTGGAAAAAAAATCAAGTAATGTACTTTATTCACGAATCAAATTGAGAGAGCCCTTTAGAATATTAACATAAAAGACAGTGGACCGCTTATAATTTTTAACTTTTCTCTCAACTATCTTTAACTTTTCCTTTATCTCGTTTCACGTTTCCCATACCAAACCCTTCTCTCTTGCTCTGTCTTTTCTTTTGAAATATTACAATTTATCTCATAATTTTCTCTTAAATTCCTCCTCCCTCCCCACCCCTGCCTTTTTTTCAATATATTAAAGGAATATTTTAACCATACACATACATTACAAGTTATTAGAGAAAAAGGAGAAATATTAAGTATTAAAAGTTTTTGTTTATTTAGGATTTAAAAATTGCAATATGTATTAATATTTTTTTCGCATTCTTCTCTCTTTTCCTCTTTCTCTCTCTCGTTGTTTTAATATACACTATATACTTATATAGAAATTTTAATATTTCTATGAATTTTGTTGAAAGGACGAACCAAATATCTTAGAAAAAAAAAATAAAATAATAAAAGAAGAG